TACAGAGAAAAACTAGTACAACTTGAATAAAATGGTTTAAATCCCATAATTTTTAGTTTGTCCAACCAATTTGAAAATCGAAATGGAGGAACAAAAACCTACCTTAAGCTCTTTAATATCCTTGACTAGCCTGACAGATGAATCCCGCACAATGGCCGTCAAAACCTTTCTTCTTTCTCTCTGTTTTCCCCTCTCCCTTCTCATCTCCAGCAACCGAGTGAGGTAAGGGTATGGGATGAGAAAATGAAAATGAATTTAGATTTTTCTTATATATAAAAACTCATGGTAGTATTTATCGCTACTTCGCTTTGTCAGAATATTCTCGATGCTCCTGGATAGAGTGCGCAGTGGCCCAATGCTCCCTCCAGAACCTTAGTGCTCTCTAAACAAAGAGCTCATCGCCACAGCGCCACTTAGGCTAGCACCACAGTGCTCCCATTAACTTTTTGATACCTAAAATTTTATACAATTCTAAACTTCAACCCTCATTAAAATGCCAAAGCTTTTAAAATTAAACATATACAAAGAGATTGGAAAATTTATACAAGTTATGTAGACACATTATAGCTCACTCACCCAATTGCTTGACGATGCATTATTGTTCGTTTGCGCCTGCTTACTCACTTGACGTACTAGCCCCACTTGCTTACGCCCACTCACTCACCTTAATATAAATAATATGAATGAAGCCTGCAGCTTGTGCTTTCCCCTCATGTTCGCTCCTCGTATGCATCCCAATTCGTGTGCACTCTCCTACACTCTTGTCTTGTGCTCGTAACCCTTAGTGCTCACTCTCACTAGACGCTCTTACCTTCTCACAGCTATTGTTGTCTAATGCTTTCCTATTTCCTTCCTCACTGGCATCACACCTCTTCCCCACACTTAGCACCAAAGCCCCTTCTCGTCATACACCTCTAATCATCGCTCCCAACTCCTCTTAGACACCCGCATGCCTCTCAACAGCCACAAACTTCGTCCTTTCCAAATTTTCTTAGCCTGCCACCGCCCTAACGCCATTGGCCAACCATCTCGCCGCCAACACCTGCTTGAGCTACCATGAGCCAAAGTCCACCCTCTCTCTCTCTATCCATTCTCTATATCTCCCTCTAGCTCTCTCTACTCTTCTCTCTCTCTAATATATAGTTAATACATCTCTCATTAATCTTCTCTCCTCATATCTCCCTCTACCAAATAGTCCCCTCTCTTTACCTCTTTTCCAATATCTTTTCTCTCTCTAAATAGAAAGGAGTCATCTTCTCACTCATTTCTCTCTGCCCATTTTCTATAATACCCAGAATTTCAATTAGATCAAGTCTATTGTTTCCACTAATGGCTGAAATGGCTATTAATTAATTTAGTGGAAATTTATCTATTCATTATTGCTGGCAGTTTCCACTATAGTCCCACTTAGCCAAGCATGCATTGGTTGATTTGAATCCAACTACTGGGAGCGGATGAAAGGGTTAGTGGAGAATGCATTATAATATAATAACATTATATAGGTCAAGTAAAGCACTGAAACCTTAAGCATTTATTCCTCCCTTCCCACTGCTCTTCTCAATAGTTCGAACAGAAGGGGGAAGCTTCGAGCAGAAGAGCTGCAGCGATGCTACGGGTTGTTGGCTGCTGGAGAATAGCTGAGGGAAACATTCAATTTTGCTGAATTCTGATAATAGTTAAGAAGGAAAGAGGTAATTACTGCTGCAGGGATTTTAGAATTTGTTAGTAGTAAGAAGTAGGTCTGCTCAGATCATCGTTTTAAAAAATGTTTGAGGCGGATGCCTTGAGGTGCGCCTCAAATCAGGCCGTAGCATGGGCGAACTGAGGCTTAAGCCTCGACAACTTGGACGAAACTTAAGTCTTTTTCAGTGAGGCATATGCCTCAAGGCCTGAGGTGGTTTGAGGTGCTGCCTCAATTCATTTATATTATTATTTTTTTCGACAGAGTTGTGTGTGCGTGAGTGAGTCGAGCACGTTTATAAGACTTAGGGCTTTCTTCTATTTCGAAGCACATGCGCCGCTGTAACTCTCTTGTTTTCTCTCGTTCCTGTTCTATTTGTTCCTTCGTGTACACTACTTCGGCCTCACTCTCTCGTTCTGCTTCTCCTTCGTGTGCTTTGCTTCGGCCTCGCCTCCTTGGTTGCTTTGGCCTCGCCTCGCCTCGCCTCACCTCGCCTAACCTGCTTCATGTCAGGAGTTCTTCCGAGCGAGTGACCTTGGCTGCTTCGTGTTAGTTCTTCTGAGCGAGAGGTATCGATCAATCTTACCTTTCAAGCACATGTATAATTCGACTGTTTCTTGTGAAGTAGAATTTCAGTAGTTTCGTAACTTTCGGGCTTGCCTGCTTCTTGTATGGTTCGATTGCCCAACAGGAGCTTGCAGCATTGTGCTTAATTTGATCCAACGGGAGCTAGCAGTGAAGGTAAGGCGCCTTCCTCACGTTCGACCTCTTTCGCCTCCTCATTTTTTTGCCATTTCTCCTATTATGCATGATGCGTGGCAAAGTTTATTTTATATACACTGAGAGAGTGGGAGGGAGAGAGAGAATAAAAATGATTGGAAGGTGCTTGAACAATGATATATTTTTTGCAGTCCCATTTAAATATCATGGTCAAAATATTTGTTCATTATTCCCAATTCATGTACTAAATTTTGATAATATTTAATTCATAATCATATAAAATTAAAAGTTTAACAATATGAATGCTTCTTTATATTATTTATATTATTGTAATACTTTTAGTTTATATAGTTTTATTATTTATATATTATTTTTTAATTTGAGGAATTGCTTATCACTCATGCATGGTTGCTTTTTCTAGGCTTTTTATACACTACTTCAACCAATCTACTTGGTACTATTGAGATATGTTAGAATTCATAGAATTTGAGAAGGGTAAAAATACCTTCTAATTATTATATAAAATTATCCCTATTTATAGATCTATACAAGATGTCTTAATAAAGAAATAAAGAACTTCTAATTGATACATAATTGCCTCAATATAATCCTTCCTAATTCAGCTACCCAAACATTGAAGGATATTGGCGTGATCCAGGTGAGCCTCCCACGGATTCTCATCCTGACCGTGGGATCAAATGCCAAGGAATGATTGATATTTTGACACTCCCCCTCAAGCTGGAGACCAGCTTGCAATTACTCGCTCAGAGGTAAAGCTGCATTGGTTATGGATAGGATATCAACCACCAGAGAAAGTCGACAATGAAGGCCGATGATGGAAAACTATCCTCAAAATTCCGACAATTAAGGCCGGTTGTGGGAACTTGTATTCCTCATAATTCCAGCAATGAAGGCCGGTGGTGGGAACTTTGTATTCCTCATAAATTCAGCAATGAAGGCTTCTCGGAGAAAATTTCCCTTGTCGACAATAAAGGTCGATGATAAAGATTTTCTCTCTTTTTTTTCACTAAATTTTTTTTTCTGTCCGACAATGATGGTCGATTTTTTTTTTTTAACCGGGCCAAGCCAAGTTTTAAAAGACTCGGACCGGATGGCTAGGGCTCAAAGAAAGGCACGGTTTGCTCTCTCAATCCGCAAGTCGAGTCTCCGTCCCGACTTCCTTCTTGCGGTCGGCAGAAGGATTTCAGTTGGCATGGCCTTTGCTGAAGCCCCGTCTCCACTGGATGGATCGACAACACTTGATCTTCAACAGCAATGAAGGCCGTCTCTTGCTCCGTCCATGCCCTTATCTTTGTTCGCACGTCTTCGCTTCTTCCATCGTTGGCTTCGACTGGCCTTCTTCGACGACTTGCTCCTCCTATCAGATCGAAACTCTTGAAGACTCGTTTGTGGCTGTTCGACCGTGCTCCTTCGACGACTAGCCCTTCTGTCGGATCAGAAGTTCCAATGCTTGGATCGGCTCCGTCGTTTCCTTCATCCGGCTTTGTCTCGTTCGCGTACGTAGAGGTTTGCTCGGCCCATCCCGTGGGTTTCTCTCGGCTGGTCCCGTGGGTTTCGCTCGGCTTCGTCCCGCACGTAGGAGCTCGGTTTCGTCCCGCTAGTAGGAGGTTTGCTCGTCTTTGGTCCTTCCCGCATGCAGGTAGGTTTTGATCCTTCCGGCTCTGATACCATGTTATAATTCATAGAATTTGAGAAGGGTAAAAATACCTTCTAATTATTATATAAAATTATCCCTATTTATAGATCTATACAAGATGTCTTAATAAAGAAATAAAGAACTTCTAATTGATACATAATTGCCTCAATATAATCCTTCCTAATTCAGCTACCCAAACATTGAAGGATATTGGCGTGATCCAGGTGAGCCTCCCACGGATTCTCATCCTAACCGTGGGATCAAATGCCAAGGGATGATTAAGATTTTGACAAGATCTATTTTTGGTAAATTTTTAAAATTGCTTCTCTTTGTCATCTGCAGCTAGATTTTGGGTTGAAATGGACATTATTCTTCTTGTAGAAAAGGCGGTGTGGATTTGTACCTTGTCTCCTGGCTATTAAAAATGATTATCATTCCCAATGATTCACTAACTTTTAAATATGACCGTAGATAAGGGTTTACGTAGCTCTTCTTTTTTGTAGAAAGATACTTCCTCCTATTTCATCGTGTTATGTTTAGTCTCGTTGTGCTTTTTACTTTATCTCACAATTCTTTGTAATTTGCTTATGTTGCAATCATTTAGTTAACTAATTTTATAATTATGCTTTAATTAAAAAAACCAATTCATGTCAGCATCTATTTCAACCCTAGATTGCATAGATATGAATAAGCAAGCCTAGGTCGATTGGGTCAAGATGTTGGAGATCCTACTTCATCTTGTAGGCATTTTAATGCATCTATCTATTGTGTCTTTCAATGATCATGTAACATTGATCTTTGCTTTAATTGTTCTCTCTATGTTAGTTGGTTAGTTCAAAACTTCAAATTGAGCTTGATATTTTAACTCCATGCTCAAATATTCTCTTTTTGATGTTCCATATGATGATCACAGATGGGAAGTATTAACTACTTTATTTTCAGGTGGTTGCCCAGCTGTTGCAGGATACTGCTGATGGAAAGAACTGTTCACCAGTAAAGGTAATGTTTCTTGAATTTCTTTAGCCCCTCCGCAATTCACGGATGGAAATGCAGTTTTCTAGTTTACAGGTTCTTTACCTTTTTCAGTTTATTGGTAGTATTTAGGATATGATGAAACTCCTATTTTCGCATAGTTATTGCTCCTTGTGCTTTTGTGAAGACAATTTTCCTTTTTAGTAATCTCATTGTATAAACTATGTTGATTATCTATGTAGGCTGGTAACATGACTTGCCATTGTAGATTATGCCATATTAATGCTCTCACTTTTAATTGAAATTTTGGTACGCATAAAATTTCATTTAATCTGCAGAGATTGATCTCAATCTTGATTCTAAAGGTACCGTGTCCCATCCAATCCTTACGCCCAGTTCCTCAAATAAAAAGAACAACTAGCGAATACTAAAAAAAAAAAAAAAGAACAACTAGCCAATACTAGAAAAAATGGATTTCTTTTTATTGCAAAAGCACATCTTGTTGGGGGAAGAGGAACGTTATTGTACATTGCCATTACAATAACATCGGCCTTTATCCCACTGTGGGATTATTGTACATTGCTATTAAATGCATACATTTATTTAATAATATATTCTTTGTTTCTTATTACAAGCAGAATTGTGGGACCTAAACAAATTTCAGTTATATCTTACAGTTTACCATTTTCAGTAATCATATGGATTTGACTAAAATTGTAGGTCTAGAGATAGTTAGAGCTGAACTTATTGAAGTTAACATAGTAGAAAATATATTTATATGATTTGGGCATGTACAAGTATACAATATATACTAATAAGATAGATTGATAAAATTAATTTGGACGAACTAGAAATAAAATGGGGGTAGACTAAAGTTAGCGTGACTATAATTTTTGTAAAAAGATATTTGCAAATAGTATCCATATGCAACTCTTACCAAGAATGAATGGGGAGTGAGGATATTTGAGATGAGACTAATATTGATGATGTTATTTTTTTTTCTAATTTGAGGTTCTAGCACATATTTTTTTTTAATACTGTCATTGTCAAGTCCCAAGTCCTGGATGAGAAAAATTGAGGGTTGCGTTAGTTAGTTTACAGTCGGCATAAAACTTGTCGAATAATCATGACATGAATCCCTTAGTACATTGTGTTAATGCTAGGGCGTTCCCTGGAAGCGACGCGCTGTATGACCTGAATACAACAAGAAGTGTGCAAGGCCCCTGCATCAGTGCTTGGATGTAGTGTTAAATAGGTAAGGGTTCCCACATCATGGACAGATATAGGCAAAGAAACTAGTCCATGAAACTAAAATTCAGATATGATCTTGGAATGTAGGTTCTCTTACAAGCAAATTAATGGAATTAATTGATATTATGATTCATAGGAAGATAAATATTTTATGTGCATTCAGGAATCTAAATGAGTTGGAGAGAAGGCTAAGGAGATTGATAGTTTAGGATTTAAACTTTAATATTCTGGCTCGTAAGTTGTCTAAAAAAGCAATCTGCGGTGCAAAGATTTTAACTTTTAATGATTTATATAATAGATTATATTCTAAAGAGGGCAAACAAAGAGATAGGAGTAGTAAGGTTTTAGTTCAAGTGAAATGAATTAATGATAAAGATCAAAAAGTGTTTTTTTTAGATGAGGATATTCAACAAAGGTGGATGAGATATTTTGCTAAGCTTTTCAATGAAGATTGTGAGAATACGATTGACTTTAGTGACTTTAGCACTTTAAATGAAAATATAGATTTTTATTTTTATAGGCGTATTAGTAAAACTGAAGTTAGAGAGGCTTTAAAGAAAATGAAGTGTGGAAAAATTATTAAACTTGATGATATTCCAATAGAGGTGTGGAAATGTTTAGGAGAAGGAATTTCTTGGCTTACTAAACCTTTTAATATTATTTTGAAGACTAAAAATATGTCATATGAGTGGAAAATGAGTGTGTTGATTCCTATTTTTAAGAATAAATGTGATGCACAAGATTGTACGAATTATAGATGAATTAAGTTGATGTGTCATACTTTAAAACTTTGGGAGAGAGTTATTGGGCATAGGTTATGACGTGATACTAATGTTTCTCAAAATCAATTTGGATTCATGTTGGGTAGGTCTAATATTGATGTAGACAGAGGGGTGACTTTTGGGGGGCTTTTCCGTTGCTTTGGTGCTTTGTTTCCTGTAGTTGACTGTTGGCTTTTCATTTCCCTTATTTAATTAAGAATATGAAGGGTTTTTGGGGTTGTTTGTATTCCCCTTTCATGTCTATAAATAGTAGATGTTTTGGGTTGTTTTAGGTATGATATATGATGTGATTTTTGGAGATAAAACCTGCGGGTTTGTTGTTTGGAAAAGCTTGCGAGCTTTGTCCAACTTCCCTCTTTCCTTCCCTCTTTGAGAAAGCTTGCGAGCTTGTCTCCACTTCGTCTTGGCTTCTAACCTCTTTCTTCTAGTCGCAAGTATCCAACTCACCTGTATCCTTCTTCTCAAAGAAATGCAACTTTAGGTATTTGTCTTGTTTGAGTCATTTGTAAGTGTCTAAGTTTATAAGTCTTTTATATTATGAAGAAAAATTGTTGTTTTTAGTTTATTCGTCTATTTTGTGTCCTGTTGTTTCTTTTCTTTTACTTAAAAAAGTATTATTTTGTGATAAAAAATTTGGGGCCCTCTCCCAAATTTTTGATTACACCAACTATGGAAGCTATTCATTTATTGAGATGGTTGATGGAGAAGTTTAGAGTGAATAAGGAGGATCTCATATGATATTTATTGATTTAGAGAAAGCATATGATAAAGTTTCAAGAGAAGTACTATGGAGAGTTCTAGAAAAGAAAGGGGTTACTAATGCTTATATTCAAGTCATTAGGGATATGCATGCAGAATCAATTACTTGTGTTCAAACACAAGATGGTTTGACCAAGTATTTTCCTATTTTAGTTGGATTTGATGCGGGCAAAAAATATAGGGGGGCCTATATCTCTTGAACCCACATAGACAACCCAAAAGAAACCACAAAAAGAAGGGAATTGACTAGAGATATAAGAACAAACTCTTACATTTCAAATGTTTGGGAATAGATTTAGAAATTAAAAAAAAAACTTACAGAGACATCTCGTACACTTAAACAAATTACAATGACTCGAAATTAAAGACACCCTAAAATTGCTTCACAATTTAGAAGAGGGGTACAGGTGGAGTGGCACTTGCGGAGAGACGAAAGAGTTTAGAAGCCGAGAAGAAAGGTTGGAAAAAGCTCGCAAGATTTCCAGAGGGGATGAGAAAGAAGGTGGACAAAGCTCGCAAGCTTTTCTAAGCAAACCCGTAGGTTATAGCTTTTCCAAAAATAATATATCATTCACTTCTTTAAAACATAACAAACCCCTCATATTTATAGGTATGAAAGGGGAATACCAAAAGACACAAACATTGAATTCTCATTGGAATTCCAAACATCACAAACCATTAAAATCCTATTGCTTTTCACAGAAAAACATCCCAAGCCCAAGAACCGAAGGAGCAGCCACGGGAGCCAAGGAGGCCGCACGGAACCAAGGCGCCAAAGCCAAGGGAAAACTCCCAGGCTCGGAAAACAAGCAGCTGGCCGGAAATCCAAGGGGCAAAGGCACGGGAAAAGCCAACCCGTGGAAGCCAAGGAGCCATGGCATGGGTAAACACATTTTCATTGAATTCCAAAAGCCGATTTGGAATTTCAAGAGACAGATAATTAAAAACATAAAAACAGTAAAAATTACATTTAATTAAAGATAACTATGAACTAAAATGTTAGCTAATAATGAGCTAACCCTTAGTTCAATAAGTGAACTAAAGACCAGCTCATAATGAGCTAAAATTTCAGCTCAAATTTGATTGAGCTTGTAAACTCTAGGAAGGCCAAAATTGATTTATTTTGGACATGAGTTGACCCCCCCTTTGTCTACATTAGATTACATCAAGGATCAGCCTTAAGCCCGTATCTTTTTTCTTTAGTCATGGTTGTTTTACTAGACATTTGGAAGAGATGTACCCTGTTGTATCCTTTTTTTATGATGATATTCTTCTTGTTGATAAAACTAATGAGGGAGTTGAAGGTAAACTTGAATTATGGAGGTCAACCTTAGAGTCTAAATATTTTTGTTTGAGTATATCTAAAATTGAATAAATGGAGTATAATTTTTGTAGTAATAGATCTAGTGGTGGTTTTGTGACTTTGAGCAATCAAGTCATTACTAAATGTGCTCGTTTTATATATCTTGGATCTATTGTCAGAGTGATGGTGAAATAGATGGGGATATTATTAGTAGAATTCAAGTTGGATGGTTGAGGTTGAGGAATGCTTCAGGTTTGTTGTGTGATTGAAAAATATCACTCAAACTTAAGGAAAATTTTATAAAATGTTGGTGATACTTGCAGTGCTTTATGGCGCAGAATGTTGGCCATTAAAAGAGAAGCATAATATTAAGTTAAGTGTTGCTGAGATGAGGATGCTCAGGTGGATGAGCGTATTTACTCTTAGAGACAGAATACAAATAGAGCATATCCGTGAAAAGGGTTGAGTAGCTCTAGTGACAGATAAGGTTAGAGAGAGTCGCCTTAGATGGTTTGGTCATGTAAAATGGCGGCCTTTTGATGACTCTATTAGGAGAGTATATGTATTAGATTTGACCTATGTTAAAAAAGGTAGAGGTAGACCTAAAAAGATTTGGTTAGAAAATATTAGAAATGACATTTCTTTATTAGATTTAAATGAGAATTTTACTCTTAACATGACACAATGGAGAAAAAAGGATACATGTAACCAACCTCACGTAGTGGGATAAAGGCTTGATGTTGTTGTTGTTGTTGCTGCCGCCTTTCCGGCAACCTGAGAAGTTTATGCCAACAAGCTGAAGTATTCAATCACTTTTTGTTAGTATGCATTTCTTTTTAACTTGTTGTTTTTGCTTTTGCTTCTTGCAGTTACTCAGAATTTTGAAGAATTTGTCACACATATCTAAATATTCTTTACTTTACGTCATTCTAGTTGATTTGCTTCCCTCCATGTCCTTCAAAAAAAATGTCTGTTTGGTTCCAATCATAATTTCAATCTGATTTATGAAATTGATGGAACTATTTGCATTTGTAATAATTCCACTTGCATTACTAAAATGCATTTCTACATTTTGGATTTTTTTTTAATTATCTTAAGAGTTATTTGTGGACCCTAATATGTTGTCATAAGACATGAATCCTTTTTTTTTTTACAGCATTATATTAACTGCTAGTTTGTAGTCCTCCTTTTTTGGCAAAAATCTAAACTTGATCACATAAAAATTGTGTAACTCGTGTTGTCTGAACTGTAAAGTGTGATTACGAGGAACTTAGTTTTCCTATGCATCCATTAACTTCTGACAGTAGATGATAGCTGTATTTTCAGTAACACGCAATGCTACAGATTTTGACCGCATAAAAAAACTTTATAAGTGCACGTTTTGGTATTTTCATTTCTATTGATTTAATTACTGGTCATAAATACTTTATCCATCACCTTCCAGTCCCTCAAATGCCCTACCCCCTATTCCTGTTCCGACCATCAGGACATACCTGTATGCAAAATATGTGCAATAGCTTTTATGAGCACACAGATAAAGTTACAAAATGGTGCTACTTAAATTCAAATCACATTTTTTTCTTAAATATCTCGTGTTTTAGAGTGGGGCAAGACGTTTGCGTGATGCTATAATTCTTGGCTTTCAACTTCAAAGAGCTCCTGGTATAGATATCAGCATTCCAGATTGGTATTTACTTTCTGAAAATGAAGTAGGTCTTAATCACACTTTACCAAATGTTGAAATGAATGGAGACATATCTCTTACGCACGTGTGAGTTTCTTGTTTTCATGTAAATGTTCATGATTACTATCTTCTAGTTTGCACCATACTCATTTGACGAAGTCCTATTTATGATCCAGAGGCGTTCCAAATGTTGAAGTTCTTTATGGTCAACTTCATGGTCTATCTGATACTGTAGCTTTCTTGAAAAGCTTATCTGCACTTAATGATATTGATTTGGGAAAGAGTTCCGACAAGCACCAGCTGAGAGAGCAGGTTGCAGCTGCTGGAATATTCAATTGGGAGGTTTTGAACCTTCTTTGCTCTTAGTTTTTCTTAAATGCAACAGTTAATTTCATTCATCATAGAAATTGTAGAAGTTTGGCTATGCCATCAATTACATCAACTTTTGCATGTTGCACTTCAAATTTGTCAATTGATTGATCATTTTGATCATGCCATTTCATCCATTGCAAATTCATGTTTTATTTGAATATACTATACATATCATGAATTGTTTATGAAAACTTACTTTTTCTTCACTCTTAGCAAATGTACGAAAGATATAACTTTTGTTAATCTCGAGTTATAATAAATATTTTATCTTTTATGTTCATTGCATTTATTTTAATGGATGGTATTCCATTCCAGTTGTTCTCAATTGTAGATTTTTTTTATTAATTAGATATTTTCAATTTAAAAGGAAAGGGGCAAAGTAAAATTAAAATTTTCAGAATTTATGCAAAAGACACATCAAAAGAGTTAGCATCTTATAGAGCACACAAAAAATTAATAGTTTAACTTGAAGTTCGAAAGCTAACACCTCATGTGCTTTTAGAGAGTACAACAATATCATGCCTTTATCCCACTACGTGAGGTCGGCTTTTAGAGAGACTTACCCAAAATGAATTCAAATTGATTTTGAGAAACATTAGTATCACGTCGTAACCTATGCTCCATAACTCTCTCCCAAAGCTTTAAAGTATGACATATTAACTTAATATAGGTATAATTCGCACAATCTTGTGCATCACATTTATTCTTAAAAATAGGAATTAGCACACTCATTTTCCACTCATCTGACATCTTTTTAGTCTTCAAATTAATATTAAAAGGTTTAGTTAGCCAAGAAATTCTTTCATCTCCTAGGCATTTCCATACCTCTATTGGAATATTGATGAGGTCATCGACAGGAGGTTTAGGCGCGTCTACCAGAGACGACATCGGAGATCGACGGCCATGATGGAGAGCCACTACTACTGATTTTATTTGCACTAGCATTTTATGTATTATGCATTTATGTTTTTTCAGTTTTCCCATTTTACCCTTGAGGGTATTAGTTTGCTTTTGTAGCCCGGAGGGCATTTTAGACTTTTATATTTGTTGTCATGTAGAGCCTATTTAAATGGCTCTTGTTTCTTGTATGAGGTATTGAATTATTGAATGAAGTTTACTACTATTGATCTCTTTGTGAGTTCTCCATTCCCCTAGTTCTCTCCGTGAGTTCTTGATGGAAATTTCGTGGATCTCTGTGTGAGTTCCGGAATTCTTATTATTTCCCTTTGAGAGCTTGAATTCCCATTAAGGAGGCAATTAACTCCTCCCTAATTTGAAATCTTGATTTGATTTCAAATAATTCTTCCCCATTACACTAAAACTGAAATTGAATTTCAATTTTATTCCCCTCCCCCTTCCCTCTCTCCACCGCCGGCCTCCTATTGGCTCCCCCCATTAAGTGGGCATTAATTCTCCATTAATTTGGGGATTTCAAATTTAATTCCCTAATATTTTTCCCTCCCAATTTCCCTAAACTGAAATTAACTTCAGTTTCTTTGAGCAAATCAACTCCCCTCCCTCTCTCTACCGCCGGCCTCCCCATCCCCTCTCCAACCCGCCGTCCACCTCTCCCTCTCATTGGAGAACTTCTTGCGGCGACCACCCATTCTCATCTTCAAGAATGCATGGAGGAACCCGAGTGAAACTTCGGGTTTGAGTACGACAACCAAGGAAGAGTTGACATCCTCAAATCACCCTTCTTCGACGTAGGCTTTGATTTCGACGACACCGTCGAAGAATATTTGGATCGGATCCTACCAACACTAGTGGATTCCATCGACGACCACTTTTCCGTCTACACGTGGATCATCAAATGGCGTCATCCCGTGCCACCTCCACCTCCGCGCTCCTTCTCCACAACGATGTTCCTTGGCTCCTCCCTCCTCGTGGCAACCTCAATACTAGCTTGGACGATCTTCCGCCGCTCAATCTAGTTTCGTAGGAAAGAGAGAAGAGGTCTCAAGGTGAACAACTCCTTATTAATTGTTGGATTTAATTCACTAGCTTTTAACTTTACTTTTTCCTTTGCCTTGGCTTAAATCGCTCGGTCAATTTTCATTGTAATTCTTTAACCTAAGCAAAGTGGAACTCTACGAATTCTTGTAACCAATTTTAATGAGAAGCATGACTTCATAAATGGTTAAGCTCTTATTTAATTTCCTTTTCTTTAATCATGTGTAACTCAATTCATGCATCACATCATTTTGGTATCAGAGCATGGCTAGCATGCTTTACTTGTGCTAGAAGTTCCTAGGAAGTTAGTTACCATTGGTGTAGCTCATTCGTGTACATACCATTGCTTATTTCATAAAATTTCCTGTTTTACTTTGCTGTCCAGAAATATTTCTGCATGCTGTTGTCATATTAAGCAAGCTTAGTGTATCACCTAAGTGTAGTCCTAGTCTTTCCAACTCACCTAAGTGTTTAGGCCACTTGCTACACTTGAAACACTTGCTGTCCAGAACTTCTCCTGCAAGATTTAGGGACATTTAGGTGACCCTAAACCTTTAACAAGTGCTGTCCAGCCTCCCAAACCAGTCCCCAACACTTAGCCACTTCAAATCTTTGTGTTAGGTTGCTGTCCATAACATTCCAGCAGCATATAGAGTACTTAGGAGCTTCCTATCTTAGCGTATAGGTGCTGTCCTTCACCCCTACACCTTCTTTAGCAGCCCCTAGCCGTCCCCAATGGATCCGGAACACTTGCAAGCGACTTTAGACCTCATAGTAGGACAACTGGGATCGGTTACGCAGCAGATCCGCAACACCCAAACTTATTTAGATGACTTTAGGCACCATACGAGTGACCGACTAGATAATATCGAGCGTATGAGAAACCCTGCTATCTACACACCTTCGAGACCTCACTCACCTTATGGCGAGGACAACAGACCCGATCATGACCAACCTCGAGATCCCGGATATTTTCAAGACCATTACCGACATAACCCAAGATCCCATCAAGAGCCCATAGGAAACGAGAACCCTTGGAGAGACAACGACACTCAATTATTGAAGAACATTAGGATTGACGCCCCGACATACAACGGTACCCTTGACCTCAAGTTTTCCTGGATTGGCTCATGTCGATCGATAGCTATTTCAAATGGTACAACATCTCAGAAGCTAGGAAAGTCAGGTTCGCTGAGATGAAGCTCACTGGTCGAGCCAACCTGTACTGGACCAACTTGGAGAACATGCGTGAAGCTCGAGGTGAACACCCTATCAACGATTGGAGAACTATGAAGCAGGAACTTAGGAGAAAATACCTCCCTCCTTCGTACTACCCTAAGCTTCTGGATAAGTGGAACCGACTAACTCAAGGAAGCAAACCCGTTAAAGACTACATCTCCGCCTTCGACGATTTTCTGATTCGTTGCAACGGCGAAGAATCTGCTACTCCAACACAAATCCTGTCTATGTTTAGAGCTGGCCTTAGGGAAGATCTTCGAACCGAACTGTTTGCTAGAGGAATAGACACGCTAGAGGCAGCCTGCAGCCTTGTACTTGACTTAGAGGAATCCAAAACCCATTCCTACACCAGGCAGTTTGACTCCCGACCCAACCCGTATCGTACTTCCACCAGCCAGCCTCAAAACCGACCCACGAACTCGACCGGTAGCCGACCCTCTGCTAGTACAGCCCCTCATCGTCCGGACCTTAAAGGTAAAGCACCCGAATGAGACACTCCCAAACCCAATTCGGGAACCAAATGTTATAGGTGTCATGGATACGGGCACATCGCCTCGCAATGTTCCAGTCCATATAAGGTCACCATAATAGAAGAGGTTGATGACGACGAGGAAGAACCCGAGACTGACTTAGTTCATCTTGTTGATGAAGAGGAAGATTCTTTCACGGAGGATGAACCCGTCACCCTGCAAGTCGTTAGGTGCGCGCTTTCCCAGCTAAAGTTAAGTGACGACTGGAGAAGAACTGTCATTTTCCATACCTTTACTAAAATTGGGGATAAGAACTGTAAGGTTATTATTGATAGCGGAAGCTGCATCAACGCTGTCTCTTCAGCAATGATTTCGAATCTCAACATTAAGGCCACACCTCACCCAAATCCGTATAAGGTCGCCTGGATTAACTCAACTTCCATGGAAATAAAAGATAGGAGCCTTATTCCACTTGAGTTTAACGGATATCAAGAGAAGATTTGATGTGATGTGTTGACGATGGATGTGGGCCAAATTATTCTTGGTCGTCCCTGGCTGTTTGACAACGACGTCCACATTTATGGGAGGACGAACACCTGCGTGTTCGAGCACAACGGGAAGAAGATTAAGTTGATTCCATCGCAGCCTCGATCCGATAAGAGTGAAGTTAAGGTTATCCCACCTAAACCTAATTAAGGCTTACACTTCTTAACTGCGAAAGAAGTGGATATTAAACTTCACCAAGGATCACCCATGTACGCCCTGGTGGCTAGAGAAGTGGATGATGATCAAGAAGGGAAAATCCACGAAGAAGATAAGCCCCTTCTTGAGAAATTTGCTGATGTCTTCCCCTAGGAGCTACCTGACCAACTTCCACCCCTTAGGGACATCCAACATGTCATTGATTTAGTGCTTGGAGCTTCCCTGCCTAACCTCCCTCACTACCGGATGAACCCAATGGAGTACGCTGAACTAAAAAGGCAAGTAGATGAACTTCTACAACGTGGATTTATCAAAGAGAGCCTTAGCCCGTGTGTCGTTCCTGCCCTTTTAACCCCTAAGAAAGACGGTTCTTGGAGGATGTGTGTTGATAGCCGTGCTATCAACAAAATTACTGTGAAATATCGTTTTTCAATCCCACGACTAGATGACATGTTAGACATGATGACTGGAGCAACACTGTTCTCTAAAGTTAATCTTAAAAGCGGATATCATCAGATCAGGATCCGCCCAGGTGATGAATGGAAAACGGCCTTTAAGACAAAAGATGGGTTGTATGAATGGATGGTTATGCCCTTTGGTCTTAGTAACGCTCCTAGCACGTTCATGCGGATTATGACCCAAGTCCTTCGACCTTTCCTCGAAGAATTCGTGGTCGTCGATGATATCTTGATCTATAGTAAATCAGTAGACCAACATTTGGAACACTTGAAGAATTTAAGGAAAGAACAGTTGTATGCAAACCCTTAGAAGTGTGTGTTTCTTACTGATAGTGTTACCTTTCTAGGATTCATAATCTCATCTCGAGGAATTTCAGTCGACCCCGAGAAAGTTAGAGCGATCAATGAGTGGCCTAAGCCTAAGAATATCAGAGATGTTCGGAGTTTTCACGGATTGACCACATTCTATAGGAGGTTTATTAGAAACTTTAGCACGATAGTGGCACCCATAACCGACTGCCTCAAGAAAGGAGAATTTCACTGACTTTAGCTGCCACTAAGGCTTTCGAGGACATTAAGAAAAAAATGGTTGAAGCCCCTGTTATGTGTCTCCCTGATTTTTCCAAAGTTTTTGAAGTGACTTGTGACGCGTCAGGAATCGGTATTGGAGGAGTTTTATCTCAAGAAGGACATATTTTAGCGAGAAATTAAACGACATCCGTCAGAGGTATTCTACCTATGACAAGGAATTTTACACGGTCATCCAATCCCTCAGATAACACTGACGTTGCCAGGCCCCAAGTCCTGGATGAGAAAAATGGAGGGTTGCGTTAGGCAGTCGACAGCTAGCGTAAAACTTGTCGAACAATAATGACATGAATCCTTTAAGAAATTGTGTTAATGCTAGGGCGTCCCCTGGAAGCGACGCACTGTATGGCCTGAATACAGTGACAAGTGTGCAAGGGCCGCTGCACCGGCGCACGGGTGCAGTGTTAAATAGGCAAGGGTTCCCACATCAAGGACGGATGTGGGTGAAGAAGCTAGTCCATGAAACTAAAATTAGGATAGGAACTTGGAATATAAAGCCAACACCAAATAGTTGAGATGACTCTAATGATGATGATGATGCACTTTCTAGTTTTCTTGCATTTACTCAATATAAACTTCTATTTATATTGTGGCATACTTAGTTGTTCTTTGCTCGAAACAACACCATTACACTTTGAAACTTAAAGAATATAAGGTAAATTTTATTTCTTTCAAGTTTTGTTTTAAAAATATTCATCTTCCAACATTTTTCAATATGTGGCTAACATAAACTTAAATTTTAAAAAAGTTTGAGCTGCATATAGAATACATATATTCTATAAATATCTATATTTACTGTCTTATATTTTAAAACAGATTCTTTCAATATACGCATATTGCTTGTGTTGTCTACCATTCCTTAGCTATATTATTGAAGAATAAAATAAATGAAACTTGAACTATAAATCTCCACTAGATATGTCCATACAGAACTAATATTTTGCTATTCAACTCATGCCTCTGAAGAGCTTCATCATGGTTTGATAAGTTATATTTACAAATTTGATAATGGTTAATAACATCATTTATAGACTCAGTATTGTTTCCTGTTTTTGGAGTTTAGTGAAGCTGTGATGGGTCACTTCACTCAATTATAAACTTTTTTCTACATTAAGCAATAGATAAAAGGATCAAAATGGTCTCTTGACTCTTTATGAAAGATCAAAATAGTCCTCAACTTTATTAAAAATTATTTTGGTTCCTCAACCCCTTAAAGAAGATTCAAAATAGTCTCACCGTGGGACTATTTTAATTCATTTTAAAAGACTTGAGGGACCAAAATGACCATTTAATATAGTTGGGGACCATTTTGATTCTTCATAAAGAGTTAAAGAACCATTTTGGTTCTTTTCTCTTAAGCGATATATGATTAATGTAATTTAAAGCTTTTGAGGAATAAACCATATGTAAGATTGTCTTTAGAAACCTTATATATATTTTTTCTTTTTGTACCGCAGGATGAAATTTATATAGCTAGGGCTCCTGGAAGGTTGGATGTAATGGGCGGAATAGCAGATTATTCAGGAAGTCTGGTTTTGCAGGTTAGGTTTATTCTGGCAACTTGTAAGCATTGAGGTGTTTTTTATTAGTTGCATTTATCTTGGATCTAATGCAGCTATACGTGTCTATGTAAGAATTTATCTTTCAAATTATTATTGTCAATAAAGGTCAATATCTCCCAGTAGGCCATTTCTGTTTCCATCAATGTGTTTTTTTAGGTTGCTGATGATAGTTTGGCCTACTAATAGTTACCTTTGTTCTTTAAAAGTTTGTTTGTTTAGTGTAGATTGACGAACAAAGAATTCAATGCAAAAAATTTCATGAAATAGATTTTCTATGATTAAAAAATAAATGATTTTTATTGAGGTAACCTATAGAAGATGTAAGGTTTAAAAAGGTGAAATTGGTAGCTTAGAAGTTTTGCCTTGGCACGATAAAGCGTAAACCCCTAGACTGATCGAAATGGAAGCTTAAAAAAAAAATCATAAAATTAAAAAGAATTCATAAATATGACATAAACATATATACCATCAACATATTTACTTAGTTTATCATCATAAAGATGAACCACAAATTTCAATCTTAAATGCTAATATAAAATGAAAATTTTAAACGAGATTTAAGGTAAGTACTCACATAAAATTTTAATATGCTATGAGAAATAACATGTAATAATTAAATAATTTTCAGCTTGTGACAAAAAAATTAATGGAAACAATACAACAAGAACAACAACAACAACATCAAGCTTTGTCCCACTATGTGGGTTCGGCTAAATAAATCCTTTTTCTCCATTGTGCCATGTTAAAAGTCAAATTCTTGTTTAAATCTAATACATAAAGATCATTTTTAAACCCTAATGGAAACAATATTTTATAAAAAAATAATTGAACTTAGTATTAATTGGAAACATTTGTTCAAGTTATAACTATGTTCAATTTTACCTAATTTTCTTCAACTTGTAACAATGAACTTAAAAAGCAATACCTAATTATTTTCAATAATCTATATCCCATCAATTTAGGTAATAGACTAAAGATAAACTAAAACAGCCCTAAAACAAATACAAAAGAAAACATTGAGAGCTAGCAAATATTACACTCTAACTATTGATGATTATTAGCAATAGAGCTAAAAGAGGTATCCTTTAAAAAATTAGTTTTTTAACATAGCCTTATTAAATTGCCACCTCAAATGCATAAAACCTCGGAGGCTTATGCCTTAGACAAAAAAGGCATCATCCTTACTAGTGATAATAGGAATTAAACCTCAAGATATTTTTTGTGTGCCTCAGTTCAAGGTGTGCCTCGAGGCATGCACCACAAGTGCTTTTTTAAACAGTGGGAAGATATAAAGGATATATATGGCTTCTATCCTTTATTATGTTGACAAATGTGTTTTCCTTGATAGTTAGTTTACTTTAGCAGAGTAATCATTATTTAAATTTCGCCAATTTTTCTATATACCCATTTTTGCTAACATTTTTCATTGTTTTTTTCTAGATGCCAATCAGAGAGGCATGCCATGTTGCTCTTCAAAGAAATAACCCAAATAAACAACGGCTATGGAAACATGCACTGGCACGGCAGAAGGCAAAAGAAAGATTCACTCCATTGCTCCAAATTGTATGCTCTCAATTTCCTCACTAACAAATTACATGTATCTTTTAGATCTCAAAGCAGGCTATGCATGAACACTTCATTGCATAAAAGAAATTTTTTTCTACAACTTATAAAGCTTTTTTTTATTATTTTTTATTTTATGGGACTGCTGAGTGATATTGCTAGTTGCTTTTTTTTTTTTGGTTAAAATTGTAAACTACAAAAAACAAACACAGCTTCCAGCAAGTTCAAATGTTTCAGTTGCGTTATTTCGGGAAGGAAAGTTGACTTATGGAAAAGCATTTGGACAAGCGGCACACCATTGCAAAACTGATAAATCTAATCTTGAAAATATAAAACATGCAAAGTCAAGTTATATATATATTTCAAAACAAAGAAACTAAATTTTTATGATCAATCAATAAAATGAGTACAACAATCAATTGCAGGAAATTGCTGCATGAAATGCAAAAACCAAAGCTCACCATCAAGGCTAACTAGATATCAACGAAGCAAGGCCATTCTACTGAAGAAAGAACCCATGGGATCTTCGTTTAATGCATTTTACGTGAAATGTAGTGAATCTTGGAGAGTGATGACTTATTTTCTTTCTATTTCTACTCCTAATATAGAAAATTTGAAACACTTGTCCATTAGAGCTTCTGTGTAAGCATTACTGACATCATAGGCAACAAACTGATAATCTAGATTATCAATATCCGCAATAATAGGATGATCTTCAGGAGAAATTACCGATGATTGATTTGGATTAGTGATATTGTGAGTAGAAGCGATGCCTGACACTAGCAATGGGTTAATATGCAAAGAGAATCCAAGTGAACGCATAACTTTCCTTAGATCCAAAAGTTTTAGATCTTTTGTTTTGGTGTTAAGCTTCGAAGTTATAGATCAGGTGTCATCTTTACTTTCTTAACTCAAATAAGCAAGTATTTTTCTACTTTGGCCTCAAAAGTCGGGGCCCGCCTACTTAACCAGTTCAAGCAGGTGAACTTTTATATATAAACTCAAAACTTATATTGTCTCACTTTGTCAAAATAAACTAGTTATCTCATTCATCCTAATTAAATTAAATCAAGGTTATAGGTCTCTTTAGAGGCATTTTATCTTAAAATTTGCTTTACCTGATTCGATAATTTTTACTACGTCTATGTGAAACTCTTAGACAAGTTTACTTTAGTCAATTAATCAAACTTATTTATCTTATGCAAACATTAAGGGAATCACTAAAGTTCATTAAACAATATTTATGTGGAATGTATATGTCATTGGATCTCTTGACATCATGAATGACAGGTTTTCCTTAAAGCAAGCAATGATCATTCATGAGTTCTTAATAACTCTTTAAAAACATGAAACACATTTAAATTTTAAATAAAGACTTTAAAAGTCACAAGTAACTTAAAATAAAACAACCCTTGGATTAAAGTTAATTTTTTTTCCTTTCCACAATAAAACAACACGTCAAATAATAATGTGATAAATACACGAGCTATTACCCACCCATTAGATGCACATCTCCGTAGGTATTCTAAGATTATGATTTTCTTTTTTTTGCACATGTGGTTGTAGTGTTTCTTGTGAAATGATTGCTAAGTGGATTGTTTGTGTTATGAACACTTACTCTTAATTGTTTGGATTGATATATCTATTTTTTCTTATAGGTGGTCATGCCCAAAATGGGCATAACTTATAGGAGTTGCTTATATATTAAAACTCTGAGTAGGCATGACCAATAGGTTGAAAAAATCAGCTTGGCTCTATACGTGTCAGCCAATCTATGATGTGATGTTTGAATATTTATATATTACTGTTGACGAATATTTTCACATCGACTCGACCCCGATCAAGTCCGACTAGGCTCGATCAACCCAATCGATCATTGTCGAGGTAAAATTGATCCAAATTGGGCCTCAATTAAATTAAATTAAACCCAATTTAATTTAATTAAAATCAAATCAATTTAAATTAAACCCCGTCGAGCGTCGTCGAACCCAATTCGACGTGATTCGACACTGATTCGAGTTCAATTTCATGAAATTAAATTGATTGAACCCAATCAGACCCAAACCGACCCAAATCGGTTCAGGTCGAGTCCAATTCGGACTCAATTTCAGCCCTAATTTGTCAATTTGGGCTGAATTTGATTCTCAAATAAGAAATTGAGATCAATGTCTCAGATTTCATCCCAAATTCTGCCCTAAATCCCTCATTTCACGTGTGTGAGGGCTGATTGGTTCATTTTGGGCGGTGAGCTGCTCGTGCTCTCCAAGCTGCTCGTTCCCTGGCGTTCGGTCCCGTCCCGAGCAAGATAAAGAGGAGCGGGAGAGGGTAAGAGCCACTAGGCTCTTGCTTGCTTGCGGCTCCTGCATCCGTCCAGGCGAGAGGAAGAGACTGGCTAGGGGTCTCCTTGCATGCAACCTAGCCAGGAGGGGAAGTCGAGGCATGGGATTTGAGGTGATTTGAGAGTTTGTTGCTGTCTTTCTCCTCCCTCTCTCAAATGGCAGAACCTGCTGTTTGGAACGTTTGGACAGCAAGCAATCACTTCTGGGAGCCTTCCAAACTTTGAAAACTGCTGTTTGGAGCGTTCTTGGACAGCAAACTGCTGTCCGGAGCAGTTTGGACAGCAAATCCACCCTCCGAAAAGCATTGGACATCAGCAACCACTTCCGGAAGCTTGCAAACAGCAGGTTGGAGGCTGTTGAAAGCTTCCAAACAGTGCTTGGGAGGCTTGGGAGCACCTTGGACAGCAAAGGACGCATCCGGAGTACCTTGGACAGCGGCGGTGACGTCCGGGGAAGCTTGGACAGCAGTCTTCTTCTTTGAGAGCACCTTGGACAGCAAAGGACGCATCAGGAGTACCTTGGACAGCAGCGGTGACGTCCGGGGAAGCTTGGACAGCAGTCTTCTTCCTTGGGAGCATCTTGGACAGCAGTTCGGAGCCTTCAAAGGAGCTTGGACAGCATTCAGAACTTGGATTGGAGTGCTAGGACAATCCGGGAGAGGTATAACACTAAAACTTATGCAAAACCTTAAGGCTCCCTAGCCAATGGCATGTGATTGATGATCCAAAACCTTAGGTCCCTAGAAAATTTGATTTTTGGTCTCCCAAAACCCCTTATTGGCTGTCCACTTCACAAAAACAGTGGAAATCCGGTGATTTCTATTTGATGGCTCTCATGTGAGGGTCCGAAGAGGATTTCGATGCGTGTAGAGGTGTAGGATTGTTATCCAACACCTCTCAAATGTATGTTTTTGCATCATATTGAGCTTGACACTTTCGCCTACGATCAAACCTTAGGCTAAGTATTCTCATTCAAACATACCTTGAATGACAATGTGTAGGGACTCTCACATCTTGTAGCATGCATGTCATTTTTAGCAAATTGTAAGTTATGACAAAATTAACTTAGATATTTGGGAATTGTATCGCTAATATTTGTGATTTTGTCCGAATTTGTTGAATGTCAATTGATTTTGGAAGCTTGCAAACAAATGGTGGGATCTTTCATGAACCCTCAAGTTCATGTTTCAAATCCCATGATAGAAGAAATTATTTGAATTCACTTTTGATACCTCTTCAAATTTGGAATGAGAAACAAATGGTGGATATCGCCAAGCCAAATGTTTGCATAGTTAACTAAATTAGTTTGCATGATTTGGATTGCAATCCTTAACTTGTAAAAGTTTGGAAGATAATTACATAGGCTTATTTAATTCAAAGAAATGAACTTGAGTTGTTTTATGGACCCTCAAAGGCCCATGACCCCTCATGTTTTGGGATTATCTAACCCTATTTTATAACCTCCAAAAATTGAATGTTTAAGGTGAGATTGACTAAAATTCCCGGATCTAGAGAATCATCTACACGTACATGCATCCTTAGGTTTTTATTAGATCATGCCCAATTTGATCCTAAACCTCCTAGAAGTCATAAGGATAGATCTCCCCTATCGAAGTTTCTAGATCATGCCAAAATTGATCTAGAGACCGCTCCAAAGCCTTAGGAAATCTTTCTTCCCTCTCCTAATTGAGTCCAAAACATTCACGGGGAAATAAGGGAATTTCCTCTCTCATGCATGTCCCCTTTCAAATTTGGTGCTTAGAACTTCCTCAAAGTTTTAAGCTCTATGTTGCATGAGTTCCAACAAATATAAAGAGCTTGCTCCCGAGCACTCTTTTCCCTTCATGTGAAGTATCTTGGAGCCCCTCCAAGGCTCTAAATTATTCTATCACATGAATCTTCAAGGGATTTAGGACCAAATCCTAAGTCCAATCCTTTCTTTGTTAAGATATGAAATTAACAAATGAACCATCCTTTCTCATATACAATCCATGGAGTGTTCTTGAAGCTCCAAGTGTTAGAGTACATGAATCATTATAGCTTGGAACTAAATTATAAGCTATCCATCCTTTCGTTAGAACATAAAACCAACAAACCATCTTCTTCCTTCAACCTCAAAGTTTTAAGAAGTTTATCAAATCATTTATTTATTGGAACCCAAACCAATGAGTAATCATCTAGATATAGGATTCAAATCCTAGTCTTTCTCATTTGCTTAGCCCAAAATTGAGCAAATGCTCATCTTCCTTTGAGTACTAGATGCTCAAAGAAACTTCACCATTTACTTAGCCTAAATCAAATAAGTGGTCCTCCCTCCTTGAACATCAAAATGTTCAAGGAATAATCACCAACTTACAATTCATAAGTTACATTTCATTTCTCCTTTCCTACAACTCAAAAGTTGTAGGAAACTATCTAATTCTTTAAAGACTCCAAATTATGAGAATGTGCGTCCCTTTTTTAACACCAAATGTTCAAAGAATGTTCATGAGGTTATAGCTTCCAAGTTGCATCCCTTCTCCTCCATCCCTCCTCCTCCATCCCTCCAACCCAAATTGGAGGAATGAATCCCTCCTCTTTGGACACCAAACGTTCAAAGGAACTCCTCCAATTTGCAATCCTTAGGTTGCACTTTAGACGACTTCTTTTCTTACAAGCCTAA